CAAGCTTTTACTTACTAGAGGTAATGGCGACAGTCTGTGCGTTCTTTTGACGGACAACGCTCCCTTGACCAACATTTGAGAAATTTCGTATAAGGATGATTAAAATTTACAATGAAGTCAATACACCCAATACAATTAAGGTGGGCTGTTTGTTGAGAGCAGAAGACAAATAAGCGTAGAACCAATAAGAAAGCTAGAAATCCATTAACAGATAGTTTGCATTTAATAATAATTGATATCGTTCTATCGATCGGTAACGCCACGCGTGAACACATGAGAAAATAAATGAATAATAAAATAAAGATCCCTTTAAGGTTGCTCGATATAAGCATTTCTCAAATTTGAAGACCTTTTAGCCACTAGCAATCCTTCCAGAAGTGAAACGGAGACTGATTTCGGTCATTCATCGAATCCACATCGAGAAACTATGAATAAAGAACGGCATCATCCAGTTTTGCCTCCTGTTTCACAAAAAGTTTGTCATTCATAAGCGCGCCCAGAACAACAGGACATTTTCTCTTTCCACCTATAGTTTCCCAATCGTTGTTCGAACTTTCTTTTTGCACACAAAAAAATGTACTGTCATTCTACACCTAAATTGGTCTTGCAAGAAATCAACTTTGTTCCAGGGTTTGGAATCCAGTATTAACCGCATATGTATGTTAGGAACTCAGACCAAAACCGTGTTAAAGTCAATAGTAATAGCAATTTCTCTAAAACCCAGTCTTGGACAATTTTGATTCTCATTATATCCCAATTTTGGGTGAGGAAATTTCAAGGCTTAAAAATCTTGTCGAAAAAAGGCAGAATTTCGTTTGGACGTTTTTCTCTTTCGAATGTCCCAAGCAGTAGTTAAAAGACATAGAATAAAATGACTTAAACTATTATTGGAGCCTTGATGGCCAACAAAGAGTATGTATTGTGTATTTCTCAAAATTTGCACAAGCTGAACTTTTAACAGCGTTTAACAAATACTTACTCTCGCGATCATTCAAGTCTTAGAAGATCTTACTCCTGGTGAGGTGGTTGACTGACTGTGGAACTCCTTTCCTAAGAGTTACAAAACCGATACTGCCACGAAACGTACAGAAACGGTGACATAGAAAAACTTATCGCCTGCCGGAAACTAAATCAAGATTACACAGTAAATACATTCTTAATATTAGCTCCGGTCTTTAGATTTTCCCGTATTTGCTTTTAGCTCTGTGTTCTAATGCAGCATCTTAACAAGAAAACTGGAGATCTTGATGAAAACTAAGAAAATATTTGCTGACGTCAAGATGGCAGCTGCTGATTCTTTTCGTGTCATTTATGCTTCTAGTCAAACCCGCATGCCATATTATTAAGATCCTTAAAAATAGAATTAAAAACCTAATGGTGGCCTTGATATTATTGCTATCGAACCTCTTTTATCCAGTTTCAATTTAGTGAAGCGTTCACTGCGAATTCGCCATTTTCCCTTTCGCTAACCAAGACGGACTTCGGACGGGCGCGATGTTATTTTGACGTTAAGCGTGAAAAAAATTGGGTGTTTTCTTGACATACTATTGTTGTGAACTACAAGTTACTGTTTCCTTACAGAAGTGTTATGGTTTCTTGAGGTCAAGAGATTGTCAAAACGCTTACGGTAC